GCTACCGGGCGGGCTTTGAGGCGTTGACTGGGTGGCCATTATGGTTGTGGACGGAGCCTTCGATTTAATCCGTTTTGCCACGCCAATCAACGCCTTCTCTATGGAATTGAGCGGCAAACCCTCGAGAAGAGTCTTGAGAATCCGGCACAGATCCGCTGTCGTCTTGGAGACGGAGCGAAGTCTCTCAAGCATTCCCAACCCTTTTTTGACGGCTTCTAGGATGACTTCTCTCTGTGGCAGGCTCCGAGCTTCGTCGTGAACAAACGCTGAGCACAAGACCGTTGTGGTGTCAAAAATACAAAACACGGCATAATGGAATTTAGCACCGACGGAGGCAACGTTCTCAAAAAAACTCCACGAGATATCCATCAGACCCAGTGCCGCTTCAACGCCCCTTGACCTGAGCTGGATCCCGACTTCGGACATTGGCTTGCTCGAGTTCCATATGACATACGGCTTCAAGGGACCAAAGAGCGACATGTACCCGATCAAATGGAGATATCGACGTTGGAAGACGACCCATTCGTGGTCATCATCCCACCGAGTGTCGGGGGCTTTCAGAGAATATTCAGCCGGAAGACTATTGAACCACTTTTCCACTATTCCCCGCAGTCGAGGGGCGAGATCGGTTGCCGCCTTTTCGGTCGGAACACTCGCGATTCCTTTCGACAAGTCAATACACAACTGGCAGTGGAGTTTCATATGCCGGAATGGGGACGGCTGGTACGGTTGTTCCGGGTCGATCTCGAGAGCCAGGGTCGGCATCTCAAAGGCGCAGTCCGCTCGGTTGACAAGCATTGGACGGGATACCATCGAGCTCAGCGCAAAGTCCCACAGATACAAGACGCTCCAGAGACGCCTCCTCATTTCGCGGTCGAACTCGGACATTCCCGCAGAAGTAGAGTCTTGGTGAAGGCCTACGACCTGTCAGTGAGGCTCATGGAGATTGAACTTGGATTATTACCAATCTCGTACGCCGCCCGGATGGCCTCGCCCAAGGCATACCAGGACTCGGTCCACTTCTCAGCCGACTTGAGCCAAAACGCCGTCAGAAACAGCTGTTGGACGTGCAGCAGCCCGCCTTTTCCATGCGTTATACTCGAACCAAGCTTCTGCGCTGCTTTGTGCATTCGCTGAGCGAAAGCTATAGCGTCGACCTTCATCTCGGACTCGATAAGCCGCTTCATCCTATCGTCGACAATGAACAGCGCCGAGCAAGCGAACACTCGGAGGATGAGGCTTGTCAACTCTGGTGTTCTGTTGGCTGGCGTGTTCCACCACCCGTCATACTGGGTCCGAAACTCTTGCGGGTAGAGGGCACAATAATGGTGGTTTGCACCGTTGAGCCAATTATCCACGAGGAAATCTAGGGCATGTCAATGCGGGTCGCGTCCCCACGGATACAGCAAGGCTGGGCAGACATACCCGCATGTGGCTTCCTAGGCATCTGCTCAAGAGCGGCTTTTACCTCAGTTGAGGGCTCCATTTCGCCATCCTCATCTGTAGCACCGCTCGACGTCTATGTTTTAAACGGTCAGTCGCTCTGCCACACAGGAGAGTGTGCGATGGAGCTACCTGAGGCCCGTTACCTCGGCCTAGCACGAGATGATGGGTATGGGGCATATAGCCCAGTGCGTTGAGGGCGTCACTCGCATCGAATGACGCATTGCCGATTTCGTAGCCGTACGGCTCCTCGCTCGGTGTGTTTTCTACGGCTTCATCCAGGTTGCGTTTCCTGGATACTCTGTGGGACACGAACAGCGGTCAGCAGCAAGCCAACCGGACTATCGGGGACGGCTTACTGTGATGGCACATTCTGCACGCTCGAGTCACTTTCGATGGTCTCGGTCGCAACTGGTTTGAAAACAGACAAGCAGAGGTGAGCAACCCCTCTCTTGGTGCACTGGTTACATGGGAATGTGCGGTTGCACTAGGACGGTGGTCAGCATGCCGAATCCGAGCACCAGCTACTGACACGACTCATCGGTACCCTTTGTTTTCGTCGCTGGCACTCGGCGCAGGCGCCGGCCTGACCGGTTCTGGCGGGCATGATAAGCCGGATTCCTCGGCATGAGCCTGGATCCAACAATGCGGTAAGGGACAGATGGATGATGAAGATAAACCGGATGCCGACTATGGGGATTTTGCTGGGGGTTAAGAGGTGACGGGGTATTACATGCGCTTGGGGGAAACGGCCTTCTTTGACCGGAGACGGGCCTTAGCCATTCGACGCAGCGGCCGTTGAAGGACACCCACACCACCCAATCAGACTGGCCATGCCGTGCTACAGTGCAAAAACCGCTCTCACATCACTGTCATTCTCGAGGACAACCACACGCGACAATGGACCCTGGAATCCAACTTGTCACCTCCCAATCACCGGCTGGCGCCAAGGGCCTAGTTTAGGGCACTTTGGGTTCCTTCCGGTCCACAAACCAATTTGACTCGTCGTGGCCTTGAACGATCAAGGTCCGCGATCCAGGCTGGCGGTATCCCGGGCAGCGATCGACTGCTCTCTCTCACCGCGCAGAGAAGCAGGGCTCCATACAGTCTTGTTGCCCCATCGCTTGACGCTACGTGCTACGGCCTCTTGCCGGCTACCTACAAGGTCTGGCGGCCCCCGCTCATCGCTCTGGCGGAGGGGCGAGGGCTGCGAGACATGGAACATGCGGCAGCTCTGCAGCTGCACCGATGGACACGCCTTGGCTCATTTTGATAAAGTGCTGCCGGACCAATTTGATCTGTGCTTCGTGGGCGGGATTTCCATACTCTGTAGCATGTCAGTTGCCTTCTACGCAGGGTCTCGGGGGGGCCAAAAGCGAATCCATGTTGTTGCAGACCTGCAGGTTGGTTCCCGCTCCCGCCAAAGTCCCGAGACATGGAAAAGGGGAATGGCCCACTAACGAGAGACTTACGCATGGTTAGGCCGTCGTTGTGGTCCACAAACTTCTGTGGTATGTCAAATCGGGATTCTTCACGGAGCGCGGGCGGGAGGGGCGGCTCAGCGCCACCCCAGCCCGTCGGGCAGGTGCTTACATCACAGTCGGGCACAGCACGGCCAAACAGGGACCAAAAGGAGTCGCCGACCACGACGCCGCTGTTCTCGATCTCTCGGAACCAGGAAACGAGATCCCCATCGGCCGTCGACGAGGGCCGATTCCATGCATACTCGCCGGCGTAGTATGTCTTGTTTGCAGTGGCCACTAGGTAGTGAGGGATCTGATCAGTAATCATTAAATATGTCTCCGCTCTCTTGCGTCGGAAGAAGCAAGCCTCACTCCGCCATGCCGCTCCGAGATCCGTTTACGGCTGAGAGATCGGTCCTAGACCGTCTGCTGCCTTCAATGTCGATCAGGCTTGTCACGACGGACCCTTAGATGTCTCAAATGGTATCTCTCCGTACCACCGCACCGCACTATGCTTTGCGCGCCGCATTTGGCCATGTTTGGTGACGAAGCATGTCACAGCTGGCGCCGGACAAAAGAAAACAATCAGGGCGGACAAGCGACTCACCCAGAGCAACATCCTGTTTAAGCTGGTTGATACTGATCGGATAGTAGTGGTTCGAGTAGATGTCGACCTCTGCGATGGCCAGATGCGACTTGTTGACGCCATAGGTGCCATCTACGAAGAGTTTCTGCGGCGCCAACTCCTTGATCAACCGGCCAATGTCAGTTATCCATTCGACCGGCACGTCTTGGTCCTTCCACACCGGTCCGCACAGCTCGTTGCCCGTCTCGTATGCAAAGATGGTCGGGTCTTGGGCATACGTCAGGTTCGTCAGCGGGTTGACGTGCGTCAGGAGGACGCGGATGTACTCCTTGAAAGAGCCGACAACCTTGGGGTTAGTGTAAAAGTTTTGCACCGCTGGGTTCTTCTCGTCCCGCGCCCGGTTGAGGTTGAATCCGTTCCACCGCAGAAAGTCGTACTTGCCGCCGTGATAATAATCAAAGTTGTCGGTCAGCGGGATCATCAAGCGGAGCCCGTACTGGCGAGCCTGCCAAACTGCCCAGTCGATGGCGTCAAAGGCTTGCGGGTTGATCTTGCCACCTGACGGCATCAGGCTGAGGGGGTTCCCTGTGCTCACACCAAGTGTGTGAGCACGGATCATGGTTCCGCCCATTGCCTTGACGACGGCCATGGCCTCGGTGACGCGTCCTTTGTGCGGGTAGGACGCCTTGGTTGGGGCGTAGTAGGGCTCGCCCGCCGGGGGAACGACATTTTCGTCGAGACCGAGCCAGTAGATGTTAGGGCCGACGGCTTTCCACGGCGTGTTGTTGAGGAGAAGCGTGGAGCCGTTCCGTACGACGCTGCTGGTGTCAGTTTACATTGCTAGAGTTACGGTATCACGTACGGTAAGTCGCGGATGTCGACGCCCCTAACCGTCACAGAGAGGGCGACGATGCTGAGAATGGAGGCCTTCATCTTGTTGGCATCAGTGTTGAGATTCCGCCCCCTGTCCATTCACTACCGGACACCACTGCATTATGTACCAAACTCGGTTTACCCAGCGGCATCTGTTCTGCCCATTATCAGATTTACTCGGCAGTGTCCCATCCGCGTGCAAAGACGCAGCATATGAATTTCCATCTGCTCAAGTCACACAATCCCGTGTGTTTTACACAGCAATGTCTCGTCTGTCGTTGACTTTGTCGTGAGGGGAGACAAGGGGGTGCGGAGGGAACGACTCCGGCAAGTCGACGTTCCTGAGTCGGGTGTTGGCGGCTCTAGCCGAGACGGGAGAAGACAGTTGGGCCGGCAGAAGACGAATCACTTGTCCGAATCAATCCCAAGCAGTAAAGACCACTAGTAGTAGTTCCGCAGACCATGTTGCCGTTGGCAGTTCCGAATGACAGTAAACTGCATCACCGCACTCCGTTGAGTGATCAAACTACACGCAGTAAACTCAAGCTTCGATACCCCTATTCGCCCTTTGATTGCGACAAGCAATTGTCCGATATAACCACTCAAAATGACAGGATATTCAACAATCAGGAATAGGTCGGATGGTGTAGTTGGTTATCACGTTCGCCTCACACGCGAAAGGTCGCCAGTTCGAACCTGGCTTCGATCAGAGCTGTTCCTGCATTGTTTTTTTTGTGTTTGCATTTTTTCTCTACTATCCCATCACGGTCCCGCAATCGAGCAATCTCCCCGTGTCGGGCTGTTGGCTGCAGCAACGGTCACGAGGTGTCTAAGTTGCTCAGTTTTCAGAGATTCTCGTTGAGCATATGCATCGGACTGTCGTTCCATAAAAATGAGTAAATATTTTGACTGTATTGTCTTCAACGTATCCATCCATCCACTAACCTAATAGCCAAGACCGTTGATTTATATACCGACGCCATCCCATGTCCATCTTATTTACAAAAACTCCAAATAATTCATCCCTCATATAAACACATGATACAAGCTCACTCTTCCATCTCTTTGTACTCTCCGCCGAAAACTTCGGCTTCCCACCGCAAAAAGTCGCCTAGGTCATGTCCCAGATTAAACCCCATTGGCACCACATTTGCGCCATCCACGCCGTGGCTAACTACCAGATCCAGCATCGGACTCTGCGGCAAACTCTCCAAGCTCCCTCTCTTTTCTTCCGTGGTTTTACCATCTAGCATCCACCCCAGCCCGCAGCCCACTCCCTCCTGCCCAGCCCCTATCCCTCCGGGCAACACTAACCCCCCTAATAAACTCGAACCCCTAGGCGGAACCCTAACCCCGCTCCCCTCCAACTCGACCCCTAGCCCCAGGCCCAGGCCCAGGCCCAAACCCGTCGGCCTCGTAACGACAACCACCGGCATTTTCACCTCTCTCATCTCCCTCATTTCTCCCCGTTCTCGAGCCTCCTCGACACCAACCATATCGCCCACGGGGACGTCAAACTCCCCGAACCACCGCGCAATCTCATCGCCTTCGAGTATTTCCCCGTCCGATGGCTTGGAGTAGTCTGTTGACTCGCCAAAGAAATCACCAGCTCCGCCGAGGATGGCCATTTGGAATGCAGTCCAATCAAGGGTGTCGTCAATGGCCGTCGCAAGCTTGGTGATGGGGAGGTCTGCTCGAGAAAGACGAATAGGGCCTTGGCGGAAATGTGGGTGTGTGAGGGTGTAATTGGTCGAAGGGAGGAAGATGTAATCCGACGTTGCGGTTGGATGCAATCGCGAAGTTGGGGACAAAATGGCTGTTTCGGGGATGGTCGGGAGGGGTGGTCGGTTGGTGCGGCGGTGGGGAGATCTGGATGGGATGGGAAGAGGTGCTGGCTTGAGCTGGTCGCTGACAGGTGGCGGCGGAGGAGGAGGATCAAGGGGTGGTGGGGGGATGGCATGGGTTGGGGGCTGCTGCTTCTGCGCGTCGGGTTCGACGTGGCTCGACGTTGATGAGCGGGGAGTGTCGGAGTCCTGTTTGGTCCACGGCATGCTGACGTTTCGAGAGGGCGGCTGGGGGAAGTCTTCAAAGTCAAAGGTCTCCGAGTCGGTTGGACTTGTGTCGCTGTCGGACTCGGTTTCCGCTTCGGCGGCTTCTCGTGCTAGTCGTGCTTGTGTTGCTCGGCTCATCCTAATCTCATGCAGGACGCTCTCCGGCAGCATCTCATCCACCTCGAGCCGGTTGAAAAGGCGGATGGCAAAGAGGCCTTTGGCACTCGACCATTTGGACGTTGGCGAGGCTGTCCATGTTGAGACTGGTGCAGCGGGAGGCGCACGTGGTCGGCCATTGGTCTTCTTGAGCCGTCCGTTCTTTGTCTTGGACAGCGAGGATACCCTGTTTGGTGTTGCTAACCTCGGCACCATCAAGGGGTCCTTTGTTTGCGATTTTGCTGAGCCAGTCGAGGAGTGGCTGCTCCTTTGTGACGTCCTCCGTGCCAGCGACGTCCGCTCCACCGACACCGGGGACCGGATTGTATCAGCAACGGATACCCGAATTGATGGTCGTTTTGTGGAGCGGGAGTGTCGAAGACGAAAGGCTTCTTCGGTCTCGTTGATGAGGCGTTCAATATCCTCAAAGTATACTGTCGAGTTTCCAAGCTCCGCCTTGTTTGGCTCCCAGTTGTCAAAAGTCCATTTCATCGATGGTGGTCGGTTAACCGTCTGGATGCGTGGAAACAGGGGCTCGGCGGGACTCCACGGCGTAGTAGGACTGTCAGGGGAAAAGTCATCTCGAGGTGGTGCCCCTTGTTGAAACCAAGGGGAGGAAGGCGGCGAAAGGAGTAGGAAAGGGGCCGCGGTTGATGGAGAACTTTTGCTCCGGGCACGCTGGGGAGACTCGAGTTGCTGGGGCGCGAGGAGAGGACTCCTCTGGGGTGTTCGGGTTGGTGTCCTGAACCCTGTGGGTGGGACTGGTGATGTTCGGGGACTGATGAAGCTGCTGTCGTTCTCATAACTGCCAAGCGAACCGGCCCAAGACTTTGGCGTATCCGGTAGCGGTGGCAGAACAACTATCCTGTGGATGTCCTCGGACCGGCGAATGTCGATGGTGGGTATTGGGCCCTTCCTCGTCCCTTTCGGCCATGTCTTGTTCTTAAACTCCTTGCTCGATCTGCCGCCGTCCGCCTTTTCGTTGGTGATGTAGAGTCCATCGTCGCCCTCGACGCCGTCGTGCTTCCGTTGTGATATCAGCCTCCGGATGCTGAAGCTTGGCCTGAACATGGTGCCGCGGACCCGAGTTCGCTACTGAGAGGAAAGAAGAGGCCAGCCTAGTGGCACATGGTATGCATATATGGCAGCAAGATCAGGTTGCACGCTATCTCGAGCGAGACAGCCTCATGATCAATGTCTAGTGTCAGTCAGGAGCACAGGGTGAATCAGGCACTGGGAACGGGCTGGACACTATAGGGGCAGGGCAGCAGAGAGTAATAACCCTACGGCACACGGCGGCGGCGGTGATGACGGAATGCTACTCCACGCCCGGGAATGCAGGCGCTCTGCGGCAACAAGGCCATTCTGACAACGTGATGCGCTGGATGGACGGTCGGGAGGAACACCAAGCCAAGTATAGGCAGTCTGGCCTATTCGCCGAGTGTGGCGCTGGCAGAAGGCCTTGCATGATTGCACATTGGACCAGATGCTGAGCAGCCAGAGAGTTGGCGTGGGGCAGCGAGGCGAGGTTCTCTGGGTCGCCGGGGTGGTATGCGGCAGATGGGATGGCACCCTCTTGTCCATTTTACCGCCATTGGGTCGGTTGCTAGCGAGTTGCTATTTGCGCCCCAAGCTCGCGTCTCTGTCGGACCCCAATGCCACCCTCGCACCCCAATGGCCGAAAAAGCGAGCGGCGAGAGCGTTAGTCGCTGCTGAGTGAGTGTGAGCGTGGAACCGTTCATGGCAGGCAGATGTCTTAGTGAACGTTGCACAAGGACGGTAACGGGAAACCAACACGAGTCCTTCAGGCTGGCTCTCGGTCACACAAGAATACACGATGTCGGAGAGGTCCTCTCAAGTTTGAGGAAGCTGAGCAAAGACACCTGCCATGCACTTGAAGCTGAAAACACGGGTGGCGTGCCGCATTCGATGTCGCACGTAGACCAGCCTCTTCACATCAGATGCGTGACATCAGGAGAGTGATGAGACCATTCGATAAGGGGTGCATTTGTGATACGCCTGTGCTGGTCGGAGGTTTTGCTGTGCGGCGTGGGAGGCACGATGTGGCGTTTAACGGGCCAGCAGCTGGCCTGGGCCATCCTTCCCTTGTCTTCCGTTGTGCGGAGAACCAGATTGAGAGCTGACGAGATGCGTCGATCGCGTGGCATGACGGGGGACGAGGCTGTGGTGTTGTGTTGACGTGAGTTTGTCACCAGGTGTTAGGGAGAGCAAAGGGTAGACTGCAGAATCTTAACGCCGCACTTCCTCAGGTGCCGGCCCTTTGCAGCTTCTTCATCTCAACTTTCAGCCTCGGCAGGTCCAGTGCGCCTTCCATCCCTAGGGACCTGAAACTCAAATTCTGGTGCCTTGGGTCCCAAATCAACAAAGATTGGTCCCTCCTCAGTTCCCAAGCAGCAGCGGCCGTCGATCCAGGCCCCGGTCCCGCGTCAACGCCTCGATCCTCGAGGCTCGCACCACGGAGACCGGGACACCGACGCTTTGCCGATAAATTGAGCCACGGCCAAATTGCTGCTGGAGCTGGGTCTTCTTTTGTTTAATTGCCAACCCTCCCTCGAGTGTCATCGCGACCACTCTCGAGGGTGACTGCCGCGATGCCGCATTTATCCAGGCGCCTCAGCCAACCAAACCCGTCTATTTTGGAGCGTCCTCTCCCAAGGCTCCGCCACGCCGTCACCCAGGTTTCTATCTCGCCCTATTCCCTGCCATGTGGGATTGGGCATACCGTGTTCGCCGTCAAGTGGATCACGATCATGATCACGATCTGGAAATGCACTGACCTTTCGCGTGGGTAGGAAGGTGACTTTGCGGTTGCCAACTATGTATTGTCGATGTGACTCTCGGGTTCCGAACCCCGTTGGACATCAACAACCGCTGGCCCACCGCGATCCTGCTGACCACACTTCGCGACAGAACCGAGCCTGTATTTACCCATCATGTCACATAAGCACCAATTCCGGGTCTTTCTGAAGACCGATGCAGACAGCCAGCCAGGGCAACGTGGAGATGACGAGGGAAGCAAGGCTGGTGAGGTGGAGGGTGAGTAGATAACGGACGTCTCTGTTTCTCCAGCCAGGTTCATACCCGCGTGCAGCTCAGCGTGTCACTGGAGCCTCAGGGGGACCAAGTTGTGGGAAGCGCTTTCCATTGAGCCCAAGATTGTGACTGGCGCTCCGACTAGTCTTGACTCCAAAATGGATCGGGCTGGCAAAACCTTCCCAACGAATCGAGGGATCGTGACTGACATTCTCACGTGTAATTAGACAACTACCCAGTCGAGCCTGTTCCCCAGCCCAGCACGAACCAAGAACGTTTGGCAAGCGCCGATGGCACTGAGCACTAGGAGGTCAACCTTTGGCTCTGTCCTGGCTCGTTCCCCTGAAGCCGTGTCGTTCCCGTTGTGGCCGCCTGTGCCAACTACACACATTCCATTTACTCGAGCACGAACGCCATAACTCCTTGCTACCGTTCCTCTCACAAACCT